ATATATATATATATATAATTTATGAAAAAGATGTAATATATACATTTGTACAAAAACACTATTTATAAATCTATTCTTTCTTGTAAACAATCATTGTTCTGTATTGGTTATAATATCTAAGTAAGATGAACATAACACTTGTGTAACTTTCATAACCATTGTTATAAGGTAGAGCTTGGAGAAACTTGTCTGAAAAGGAATGTTTGTTTTGAGCCTGGAGAGGCTTGACCATAAAATAATACTTAATTATTAAGTTTGAAGAATCTTATTGTTAAAACAATACTTGGGTGATTGCTTAAGGAGGTAAGTAAAAGAATACTTACAGTATTGAGTCAGAAGTGACTTGTTAAAAAAATACTTGTATCTTTGTTTAAAAATAGTAGAACTCAATCAAATTGAATTGAGAACGGAACGTAGTCTCGATGGTTGAGACGAACCAGTATAAAAATACCTATTGTTCCATCTAATTGCTTTGTGTGCTTCATCTGACTATTATAACTACTTCGCTGCAAAAAAAAAATGTGCAAATTTTTATACACACCATTCACCCCTCTTCTATTATTTATCTTTTCTTCACACATCACATAATTTTTTCATCATGCATAAAGTGCCAAAAATTGTCTTAGGTAACAATGTATGACAAAAGCATTTTAATTCATTTTTAAATTTAAATATATTTTTAATCTCTCAATTATTGTAACTGTGCAATTTTAGTTTTTAAGTTTTAATTGAACAATTTTAGTCCATCAAATATCTCAATAGTACAATTTTAGTCCCTTCCATTAAAAGTTTAAAACATTTTATAAAAGAAAATTTAATTAGTATATTTCTAAATTAAATTTCTTCTATTATATATATCTTATCTAATATATTTATAGTTTTTTGCAAAATTATATTAATATATAAATATTCTAATAAAATTATTGATATTGATTTATCAATAATATTATAATACTATTAATGTATATAAATTTTATTTATTTAATAATAATAAATACAATATATATATATATATATATGATATAATATAATATCATTTTATACATTAAATATTATAATATATGTTAACTTAAATAGGTGAGCAAATGTATAATTTTAAAATTATTATATTTTTAATGGAAGGGACGAAAATCATGCATCTGCATCATACAATTTTGATGCTTAAGAGTTTAAAATTATTCAATTAAAAATTAAAATATCAAAATCACACAACTACAATATTTAAAAGAATAAAATTACACAATTAAAATCTTGAAGACCAAAATTATACAATTATAATACTTGAGTGATTAAAAACTTAATTAAGCCTAGGTTTTTAAATTTATAGCATTTTAACAACCCTCAAATTTTCAATTTCTTGGTATTGTTAGAGAATATAGAAATGACACGTTTACATGATAATTGATGACGAATATTAAAAAATAAAAAATTGTCCACATAATAGTGATATAAATATCCAAATATTTGATGTAACAAAATTAAAATGATTATAATGACGCACCAAGGATTTGATGCATACCTAAGCATTTTAGCTATTATGATTAAAATAATGCAAAAGTTTTAACAGTTGTAAAAAGTGTTAACACAAATAATCACTTCCAAGCATTATAAAAAAAAATAATGTTATATAACAACACAATATATATTAATATATTATTAAAAAGTGTAAGTATATATTATAATGATATATAATATATATAAATAAATTTATATCTACATATATTATATAGTAATATATTTTAGTACGAGAGGATTTAAGAAAAAATAAAAACAAAACCCACAAAATAAAAGGATCGAGAAGGGAAAAAAGGAGAAAAAGGATTAATAAAAACTAAAACATAAAAATTAGTTGCATAAAAACTAAAATCAGCAATTTTTAAATGTAGATAGTAAAAGAAAAAAAATTGTGCAAGTATATAAGAACCAAATTGTAAAAAGAAAAATGTTAAAAAGGAAAATGTTAATAATGTCCTAAGGTCTTGATCCGATCTTAAAGTGCTCTTTGCCCCAAGGTCTTGATCGTCTAAATTCCGACCTTAAAGTGCTCTTCACACTAAGGTCTTGATCGTCTAAATTCCGACCTTAAAGTGCTCTTCACACCAAGGTCTTGATCGTCTAAATTCCGACCTTAAAGTGCTCTTCACACCAAGGTCTTGATCGTCTAAATTCCGACCTTAAAGTGCTCTTCACACCAAGGTCTTGATCGTCAAAATTCCGACCTTAAAGTGCTCTTCACACCAAGGTCTTGATCGTCTAAATTCCGACCTTAAAGTGCTCTTCACACCAAGGTCTTGATCGTCTAAATTCCGACCTTAAAGTGC